ATAAATGTGTTGCCTTTGTTAGTTAGTATAAATGAAGTGCCATAATTTAGTGTTATTTAAAGGGATTATTTAGCAGTATTCAATTTAAAATATTGGAATTGATAAAAAGGGCTAAAATATCAAATGGGCTGCATGTCTGAAATCTGGTAAATCTTATGTTTTACTAGTAAAACCTAACTTTTACCAAAGTGGTTTGATAAAAGTCCAACTATGCTTTATGATTCCATTTCGGCCTTTTACCAAGCCTTTATGATAAAACCTATAAGTTACCAATGCTTTCCAACAAAAGAACTCCTAGGTTTTATAACAAAGGCCTAAATGGAATCACATTAAAGCACACTTCAGACTAATACCAATCTACTTTGGTAAAAGATAGGTTTTACCAGATTTCAAGTTTTTACAGTATAACTTAACGCACAAAATAATAAAGTAAGGTTATATTTTAGTAATAATGATTTAATAATAAATAAAATTAATGAATAAACTAAAGCAAAAAACAACGTGAATAAAGCACAAATGAAAATACATAAATTGACATATAATGACAATACATAAAGTACATATAATTCACATAGAAATACTCCCAAAAATCGAGTTAGGAAGGTGAAGAGCAGTGTTGAATAATTCAAGTAGAAGGAAAATGAGATTTGAATTTCACCTGTGTACAGCGATAGAAGATCGGTTAATATCCTTAGTGTTCTTTAAGTCTAAGTTTAAAGATACGTTTTTTTAGTAGTATCTCCAATATACGCAAGACCACATTGACATGAAATTTGAAAAATACCATGGTTTTTAATATCAGCAATAGAATTTCTAAGGTTGGTGTTAGTTTATTTACAGGGAAAAAAAATTAAATTCATATTTATTCCATATCTTTGCAATACAACAAATGATTTTCGAATAAGATAATATAAAGCAATCAATCGATAAGATAAAACAATCAAAGTTTGATGGATTGCGAGATTAATTTTCTATAGTTGGAATCAATAATACTCAACCACGGTACTTGTAAAACCACGGTTTACAGCGATAGCTTTAAGGTAAAGCAGCTTTTTATTGAGGAGATAACTATTTGAACAGATTTTAGAAACACGGTAAACAAGTGAGCATGAGGTAGCTAATTTTTGGTTGGGGAGAAGGGATGAACGATTCTGCGGGGGGAGTGAAACCGCAAATGGTTTACAATAAACAGTAGTGAGAAATTTATCACATTTAATAAAAACGTCTACGAAATATAAACATCTATTTTCCACTTAAAACATTAATTGTATGCAAGGATCTATAGAATTCATAATATTGAGAGCATGATCAATGTCAGTATTGTCCATCAATGTGAAACAATCATCGACATATCGTCAATAAAAAGGGAACTTTAATAAACGAAAGAGTTTCACTTCAAAGTAGTGCTAAACAGACCACTTAGAAAGGCGAAACTCTTTGCTATACAAAGTTGGAATTCACAGGTTTTATTTTTCTTCTACTAAAATCATTCAACACTGCTCTTCACCTTCAGAACTCGATTTTTGGAAATCATCATATATTTTGAAAATTCTAATAGTTTAGTTAATGATCTTCCGAGTATCCCACGGTTTCCCAATTAATTGGAAAACCATTTTAATTTAATCTATTGCCTTCTGGGGTTCCTACTAAATATCCTCACACCTCCAAAAACTGTCTGTGCACATGTTCCATATTATTTAAGCCGTTTGAGTAAATTATAGTTAGAGCACATATCATTTTTAAGTTCGTTTGGTGTTAAATTTTATCAGCGCTTCGACGGAGATGGGGCTCATAACTGTTTCGAAGAAATGATCAGCAATGAAGAAAATGAAATGGACGAGAATTTTTCATTCTACGTAGCTATTTACGATAACTTGCAAACATGAGGAGAAAAATCTGATTCTAAAATTGTTACAGACATCAAAAATTGCAAAGTTATTTCCCATCAAGAAATAGAGGAATTAGACTCAAAAGATGAAATAAACTCATCAGTGCCATCTTCAATGGAAGTCAGAAAAGCACTTAATGTATTGCGGCAAGCTTTAGAACAAAGAGGAGGAATATCGAAAACTATAAAAACTTCTATAAACACTAAAATGATGTTGAAAAGTTAATTTCAAATACTGCAACTCAAGCAACCATTGATCGGTTTTTTGCAAAACTTTTGTAAATTTAATCTTATGTAGGGTTTTACTTTATTAAAATAATTAAATTAGTTAAAATAAAGCATTAATGTGGTCATTATTTCAGCTTTTAAAGTGTGTGCATTTAGAATATATCGTAATTTTTTTTTCAAATGTTGAATCGCCTCTTAATAAAATCAAAAGAGCATAAAACGAAAGAAATTTTAATAAACGGCGGGCACTGTACTGCTTTTATACAATAAAAATGTGTTTACACTGATAAAAATTTTTTAAAAACAAACTGAAAAATAAAATATAATATTAAGAAAAGCAGCTCATTCCAATTTAATTTATTTGATTATTAGAAACTTTTGATCTTATTTTTTTTCCGTAACTGCATTTTTTAAAATAATTTTAAAAATTATCAGAACATGGAGTTGGCAGTGGTCTACAGTAGAATTTTAAGACACAATATGACCTAATCTTAAAATGACTCACATTAATTTAATTTATAAATATATTTTTGCAGAAGCAAAATATTACATAAACATTTAAAAAATTACATTTCCCACACATTTTTTAAACCAACACAGATTCACATTAGAAATTTAAGTAAAGATTAAAAAAAATTTTATGAAAAAATCTATTTCCTTTTTAATTTGGTTACATTTAAACTAAAACAAAGTACATAGCAAAATCTCTCAACAAAAAATAATTTTAAGCACCATATACATTGACAAAAATCAAAATAATTTGAAAGACTTTACAAGATCATGACAAAATAACTCTCTTCTTGATTATATTATAGCCACCATAAAAAGATCGAGAGATTTTTTGGTTCAATTTCAGAGGGTGGAAAATGAAGTCTGACATTGAGAATATCTAGCAAAATGCATCAGAGTTGCACATGAGAGTGCAAGAATCTCAACCCAACTCAGTAGATGCATATGCAGACTCCCAAATTTTTCATCAAACATGTAAAACGATTGGCATTTTCATATGCTACAAGCCTTTGGTACATCGAAATAGATTGGGGACGAATGAATTGTGAAAATGATTAACAGAACAATGTCTTTTGTATCAACATCGAAATGTTAAAGAAAAAAATCTCATTTTGAAAATTGGAACTTTTTTAAGCCTTTTTGTAATGCATTTTAGTTGACATTGTTCAACACTGTACAAATCAAATTCAGAGCTTCCAGAACAATTTTGCAAGTCATCAATCAAGAAAAAGAAATGAGTACTTAACCACTTGCTTCTAAGATTAAAAGGTTGAAGATTGCTGGAAAAAATTCCACTTACAAATTTTAAAATATGAGCTCCCATAATTCCTAAAATCACCCTTCCCGTGCTTTGCCCCCCTCCACACTTCTGAATATTTCAATATGTGTTAACATGGGAGAAATAAAATAATGGAGATTTTACTAGCAATATTTTTTAGGCTACGAGTAAAGTTTTGATACATCATGTAAGTCAAAAAGAGAAATTCAGATATTTGATCCCAAACTTTTTTTCATTTTTAAATTTCTTCAACAAATATGGAGAAATTTGAAAATAAACTGGTAGAAAGGAGCTAGTCGTAAAATACAGGAGTCTTGGTTAAAAAACAGGAGACTTAGCCACTATGTATTTCTCAAGGGGGAAGCCTCTTACAGACAAAAGGACAATAAGATAGAATATCAGAAAAGTTACAAACAGCTAAAAAACAAGTTTGAGCAAAATTTGCAGAGAAAAATAATTTTGACTTGTAAGAGAAGTGTATAAATCGGGATTTTCCTAACAAGGGCCACGTAAAATCCAAGATAATTTAACATTATCAGTATAGGCTATTTTCTCAGATCAGCAGAAAATGATGTAGGAAGCGGGATGATGTACGGATGGACAACATAAAACCAGGCTTTCACTGTATTTAAGAAATAATTTGAAACAAGAAATTGTTATCAAAAAAAAATATTTTTAACAATTTCATCATTTATTTTAAATAAATATAAGAAAATTTAACCATGGAGAAGTGAAATTTTTCATTATAGTTAGATTTACTTACTTTCTGGACTGTGAATTTCAAGATTGATCATTTTCCAGGTTTGCTTCAAGAAGTTTCAGGACTTTAACTTAAAAATGCAGCGTTTCATGATTTTTTGTTTTGTTTTATTGTTGAATTATTTTTTTTTTCTTAAATAATAAATCCAGGTTTATATTATCTCATGGTGTCTCGGAATCCTACATTATATACAGTACAGAACCCGCTATCCGGAAAACCAAAAAACCGGAAAGAAATTCGATAAATATTCGAGCCATTTAAAAAAAAAAATATTTTTTTTTTCCTCATAAGATTTTAGGATTTTTTTTGCTTTTTTGAAAGATGTTTACCTAACCATCATTTTGGAAATAATCATTAGTGTATTCCTTCATCGTTTTTTCTTCTTTTTAAGATTATTTCCAAAAAAAAAAATTTTTTTTTTTTTGTTGGGTTTAACAATAAACAAACGGCATTTTGTAGCTATTCAGAAAACCGGAAAAATCAGTAATCCGGAATAGCGATGGTCCCAATCGTTCCGGATAATCGGTTCCCTACTGTATTATAAAATTAAAAATTATAATGAAAATTAAGGACAAAAAAAATTATGTGAAGAAAAAAGAACAACTTGTTGAAACTTATGAACTTTCATAAATTTTATGAATAAATTAATGAGGTGGAAAATTATAAAACAATTTTTCATGGCTCGAAATCCAAAAAATTCTGAATAGAATTTTGATATGTATTTTAACTATTCAAATTATTATTTTTTTTAGCATAACTTTGGAAAATGCTTTATATCCTGCTAAATACATAAAGACATAGCATTCACTTATAAAGTAGGTATTAAAGGAACTTACTCAAATTACTAAGTTTTTCACAACTGCTCTTAATGCTCTAGAGAAATTATAACAAGTCCTCTTTAAAGAATTCACCATCCCATAGCTGCAATAAAATCATTAGTTAAAGTTAACTAACAGTGTTATTAAATTATTAATTAAAAAAATCAAACACAAACAAAGTAATAAAATATGATAGACATTCCATGCTTCCTTGCCTTTTAATGTCATTTAACCTTTAAGTTAACATTCCATGCGGCGGAATTTTTCACACCTTTCTGAAAAAATTCTTTCGAACACTAACACCTTCCTGAAGACCATTTTAAATATTAATAAATGTATATGTTACCAATTTAAAGTAACAGAAGCACTTAGTGTTTACAAAAAGTCTTTATATAACATAAAACTGCTTATAATTTCTTAAAATTATAAACGTAAGAATTTTTTTTACTCTACATAAAATAGAATATAAATTCTAATATTAAGGGAAATTTTTCCCGTTTTCAAAAGGAAAAACCTATTAATTATTTTTTTATGCATTTTATATATCGTAACCAGACCTGAATAATATACAGACACAATAGATAATACACAAATACGAGAATAATACACAAATGCCGTTCACGAAAAATTTGTCACCATCGCAGAAAACTATTTACTAATACCAAAAAAAAAATCTGTTTCTACAAAAAAAGTTTGTCCTTTTCGAATTTCCAAGAAGAAAAAAAAACTTTTTCACTTTTTCCAACTAATGTAAACGCGATTTAAAATCACACATCATGATTCCTATCAATGCAATTTAAGATCATGCATTGTGTTTTTCAAACATATAGCGTTTTGCATTCATGCAATTTAAAAGCCACTATTACGATACATGTCCAAGTGACTTACAAATTATACATCGGAATACCTATTCACACAATTTTAAATGAAACATTGAGATCCGTATTCACACGATTTTTAAATCATATATAGAGATTTGTGTAATCATGATCTTAAAATCAAGTATCAAAATTTGTATCCATGTGGTTTTAAAATCAAACATCGAAATCACACGATTTTAAAATTAAATGTGGAGATTCGTATTTGCGTGATTTTAAACACACAGGCGAATCATATTTACAAAATTTAAACAAATAAATAAAATCTTGCATAGGTATTTTTTATTAAAATGTTGCTTACATTCTGTCAACAAATACTTCCAACATAACCTTTTTTCTGGCTCAAATTTCAGGTATTTTTCAATTATTTAAAAAAATGTTTTTGCATATAACCATATAAAATTTTAGGATTTCTATTTTCAGCCTTTTTGGTTTTGGTCATTCATACTACAGAACTCATCTCTATAGTATGAATCAATATCTAACAATAAAAGTTTTGTAAAAATTAAAACATTTAAAAAAAAAAAATCTGTGATTTTCAAACAAATTTTGTCAAAATGAGGTGGGGGCGGAAGGGTTGAAACTAGTTAAGAGTTAATCAATGTGTGCAGAAAGTTTTTCGTTTCATCTAAGCCTGAGCATCATCACATTAAAAAAAATATTTCAAATCTGTGACAGTAATTGACAGTCTGATAAATTCTATTGAAAGAAATTATAAGACATCCTCAACTTTCGCAGAAATCAGTAGCAAAAACTGGGAAGGAAAAAAAAAAAAAAAAAAAAAAAAAAAAAAAAAAAAAAAAAAAAGAGAGAGAAAAAAACAGTGCATCACTGCATTAGAGGTAAATTAATCAAATGCATGAAGCGCAATAATATTGGCATTAAAAAAAAAAAAATCCGAAGAATATCAATAGCAAACTGAGCAATGAAAAATCAAATGAAAATTTGTAACAATCACTGAAAAAAATTGTCAAAACACTATTTATTACGAAGGATTTAGCATGAGCTGTTAGTGATAAAGGGAAGGCTCAAATGCGTGGTCCAAAATTTTTGTGCTAATGTTATATTCAAAATATTGAATATATTTTATTTTTCCAAAAATAAAAAAAGGAAGGACAAATATACCGCAGTCATATGTTATTAAAACGTAAAATAAAATGTTCTAAAACAAAATTTCTAGAGAAATAACAAATTAATATAATATAAATTTGGAATTCTAGCTAAAATTAGTCATTGCAGAATTTTTTTGTTCACAAAGGGAAAAAAAAAAAAAAATCATGAGTATTTCTTCCCTCTCTGATATCCAAGAAAGGCATCTCTTGAAAATAATTCTGTATAAGGAAAAAAATCTTTCTAAAAATTCTGCAAAAAATAAGAGAAACCCAAATTTTTTTGCTTCACAAATGAAAAAATCTTTCTACAAGAACTATGTAAGGTTCGGTGACAATGTCGCCATGATTCTTTCTCAGAAAAACAATTTATTAAAATTTTTAATACTTAATAAAATTCTATGGAATAATATTAATTAATAAAACTTTCCCTTTCAAAAAAAAAGTTATTATCTAATCTAATATTTGAGGAACTTATCTCAGGAAATATAAATTTGATTTTTACCTTAAAAAAAATTAAATTTATTAATATTTTTGACACATTACCAGATAAAGCTTAGCACATACTTTTTACTTCAGTAAAAGTAATTCATTCCTTATTTAGCTATAAATATAATATAATACAACAACAGAATCAATTTTAATCACCATTCCACATTTAGAATTTGCAAGTGCTAAAATAAATATATTTTAATAAAATTTGCTTTTAATGTTTGATTACCCATTTTTTGGGGGAAATGGGAGACTTTCGTGCTGTAAAAGTACATGAAGTATAATACAAATTATTGCTAAAATTTAAATTTGTGAAATAGAAATTTAGTTACATAAAACAAGCTTATAAATCAAAATAAATTATGCCAGTTCACTAAACTAAATTAAGTTTTTGTTTTGTTCAAGTTTATAGGTCAAGTTGTGCTTATTTTTTCCTTTTTTTAGAGGAGGCGAAAAACACCTCAATCTCTTTGAAGGAAGGCTCTCTTGCACTCACTATGTTATTAGAGGTGTTTTGGATTGTGTTTATGCTATCAAAAATATTGAGTTACAAATCAACAACTAATAGTAGTTAAGGAAAAAATGATACGTAGCTACTTTCATATATTAATAGCAGGGTTGGCAGGTTTTTGACATGTGACAGTTTTTGACGGTTTAAACCGTCACGTCAAAAACCTCACTGTCAAAAACCTATATTCATATGTGAAATTTAGTTAATACATAAAATTTATATATTTTTTATAAAGGATAGTGCTTCTAAATATGTTCTAGAAAAAATAAATTTTAAATTTTGAAGAAACACTTATATTTTGAATAGTAACCAAAATCTTGTACTTTTGAAAGCTCACATCTTTTGTAATATTATGTATTCATTTTCATGTGTTATTGAAAATCTGCAGTGATATTATTAAGAAATTTATTTATAACCAAATTTAGTGTATAGTATAGATTATACTAAAAATTAGACATTTTTAAAGATAAACATTAGCAGTTTTGTACATTAGACATCTTTTAAAGAAAAATCTTTTTAATATTCTTTTAAATCTTCTTAATAATCTTTTTAACATAAGACAATACAAATTTAAGTGCTTTCTGTTAAATACACAGAGTAGTTAGTGTCGATTTACAGTATATTCAGCCTATTCATTTACTATGCTGAAAATTTAGTTTATCCAAATACTTGTGAATTTCATTTTGCTGAATACTATATAGTTTTGTTGAATATCTAAATATTCAGCTGTTGAATAATTACTTCTTGCTTTCAAGATATGCATTATTTGTATTCTTAATACAAGTGGAGAAAAAAAAATTAAGAGATAAAAATTGTTTTAAAATGATAAGTGTAATAATTATAAATAAATATAATAAACAATATGAATTATATTTATCATTATTCCCAAATATAACTACTTTTAAATTCAAATTAACATACTGGATAATAAAGTATTCGGTATAACATTAAAAATTTTTTTCATACACTTGTATCAAGTTTGTATTTATACAACATAACTTGTAAGTTCCTTATAAATATTAGTGATATGTTCCTTATATGTCAAAAATGCATATAAACTTTTAATTTTCTTAAGTATCTAAAAAAAAATTTTTTTTTTCAAAATATAAATATTTAAAAAAAATTTGTGCAAAATTTTTCTGCACATGCATTTGAATATAAATTTCTGAGATTTTAAATCTGTTATTTTACCTTAATTTTAATTAAAAAATATTTTAAAACCTGCTGATTACCTATAGTATAATTAAATTTCAATATAATGCATGGCAACTGTTGGTAGTTTTGAAGTTTATATATTTTCTTGGCAAACTTCAGTTTTTGACATTTTTGACGGATTAAACCAGTATTATACCCTTGTCATGTCAAAAACCACTTTTTGACGTCAAAAACCCAACCCTGATTAATAGCTACAAGTAGGTCAACTGAATCAACTCAAGCTCACTCAGTCAAAGTACAGATGTCCTAAATTTGTAACAAGACATTAATATAAGTCAATTTAACACTGATCATCAAATATAATATATTACATGATTCAGATAATAAAATATAGGAATATTGGTATATATTTTCTTCACATTCACATTCTGATTTGCATTCAAGATTGCAAAGTTGAACTTTCTACACATTTTGCAAGTGAAATGGCTGATCAACTTTAATAACAAAAATCATAATCATAATTTTAATAATACCACTTGGACTGTTGTGGTATTCAGAGAACCTGTCCAAGAAGCACACAACTGACTACTTTATATATGTAAAGTGATTCTCTTGGATGACTAGAACTTGGCCGTAAGGCAGATAATAACACCACTAAGTTCAAAACATTCTTAAATAGGCTGTGTGAAAATAATATTAACATAATGAGAAGATTTCAGCAATGTGATCTGTGGCAGAATAATCTCCAAATCTTCGCAACTTGTGGGCAGCGGCCAGCGAGGAACTAAATAAAACATCACAGAAAGGGACCAACTCGAAAGGCATAACTCGCAGCCACCCCCAGATTATTCCCCAAAAATTTGCAAGTTTAAAATCCATTTGGCTCTTTGGCGATTGAAGTTGACATGGCAGATTATAAAACAGAAATTTCCCCAACATAACAATCTTTACTGCCATTAAATATAATTTAAAAATTTTAATATAATTTTCATTCAAACCTAAAAATAAACAAAGCAATCATAGCCATCACCTTCTAACTTATTCAATAGATTAATAAATCTTTACAAAGAAGTTATACTTCTAAAACAATGCCAACAGCATGCCATATTAAACTATACCAGTAAAATATAATAAACTCATCATTATAGTAATTACTAGATCACAATTTAACTAAAAATATTAGCAACAATTACAATTTAAGTAACAATTTGCTTTCATTCTTAACTGCAAAATCTGAAATTGCATAAAACCATATTATAATAAAAGTTGTTGCGTATAAAACATAAGCAAAGAACATTAAAACTTAACGTCGGTTTTAAATGACAATAAGAGACTCCTGGAAAAAGTCAAAAGAAACTGAAATACGTCGAGTCAATGAGAGTAGTATGTTCGTGTATCGTTTTCCTCAAAAGAAATACGCTTTAACCCTAAAAACATGATCGAAAACGTTTTACTAATTCTTTGATATAAACAGACAAACCAGAAAAGATTAAGAATTCTATTATTTAATCAATATTGACAGTTATATCATTATAATGAAGTAAGAGGATAAAAGGACAAAACACAAATATATCAATACTAATTTCCCTTCACAACCTAAACAAATAACTACATCAAAATTTTCACTTTATAAGCAATCTAGAATGCATGATAACATAATATAAAATTATAATTGTTATGAAGCTTCACCTTACACGAAAATGAAAGTTTATTTGGAAGAAAAATATCTGGTTAAAAGTCATAACATAAACAACACAACCATCTTTGATCACGAAACACGCACCACCCGGAAATTGTTGCCAAACAAAAACGTCATGTCCTGAGAGATATTGCCAACTCACGAAAAAATAAAAGAATTTTAAAAGAGACCGTTAGCAGCCCTAAGGTTTATGAATTAGGTCGCGTTCCAATATTCACATTGGTTACACTAGTGACATTAAAGTGAACTAGTCATGTGACCTTAGTTACCGTTCGCACCATAATTCTGGATCAATCAGTGCGGTTAGGTCGAGTTCCGGTGCCATTAGCAACCAGAAGTAAACCCTCTTCTCCTTTGTAATCTTTGCGAAAAATGTATAAGTGATTAGAGATTTATTTTTTGGGTGTTATATTTATTTTTTGGCCATTCTATTTCTGCATTACTTGTTAAAGAATATATATTTCTAGTCTTTAAAAACCGGTTTGTTGAATTAAGCAAAAAAATTATGCTCCCGCTATATGATTAGCTTCAGTTTTTCTAATTTAGTTTTCAAATTTAGTTGATTAAAAGTAAAACTTCTATTGTATTTACTATTACTAGTTTTTACTTCTTTTTGTATATTTTACTGAATTGAAAATTGAATGTTTGTTTTAAAATTTCAGCACAAGTTTTATATTTAAATATTTAACAAAAACCAAAGAGAAAAATAAAAATCTACTCAGTGCAATTTTTATTGTTTTACTTCTAAATATACTGGTATCATAATTTTGTTTGTTTATTTTTTGTGCAAAATAAATCGTTATGCTTCCAGCAATGAAATAATATTAATCCATAAAAGTAGCTTACATTTATTGCAGAAAATTCACCTTAAATTTTCATTAATTAAGCAGAAAAGAAAATTTATCTAAGCCACCAGGACTCATAAGAAAAGATTGCAGTTTTAAAACTAAATATCACTTGAGTTCTTTTATTTAGTTAATAAATAAATTTGATAGTTAATAAATTTGATACTGAATAAATTTGCAATATTTATGTCAATCTGACCGAAAATTACTCAAACACATGCAAAAATAGATACACTTAAATAAACTATTAAAAAGAAGTAACCACCGAGAAAGAGGCAGTCTGAAATATTGCTACTGCAAAAAAAAAAAGAAGTACACCTCTATCCCACCCCTACATTACACAAGAAAATGGAGTACTCTATTTTCTTATACTTCAATAATACGTATTATTGTCTTTGCTTTATGTGCTAGAATTTTAGGAAGTTAATCAGCAAGCAAAAAATAGGACTTAAATATTTTTGATTAATTTATTGAAAAATGATAAACATTCCAGGCATTTTAGTTACACTAAAATATTTTAAAAATTCTTCAATTTAATACTTAACATTTAATCGCATACTTAAGAAGCATTAAGACCAATAACTACTTTTAAAACTCATTATCCAGAGCCCAAGAGAGATTGGAATTTAATGCAGTATTCTTTTTTTCCTTGGCCAGAGTGAGTTTTGATTATTCAAATTTTAAAAAAAAGAACATTTAACTTGTAAGTTGAGTAATTGATCCATTTTAAATATGTTTTAAATTTACTTTCATGATAAATTTCCTCACGAGAGCAACTTTATCTTAGTATAATAATATCTTATAAAATGTAAACTTAATAGCATTTGTAGTTCATAAGATGACACCTTTAAAATGCCTCTCGTGGTTAGTGAATCTATCATACACACTATTTATTTCTGGTAATCCAAATAAAAGTGAAAATGTCTGTGACAAAAAGTTAAAATAACTGTAATATTTTATTGCTTAAATTAAGGAAAATTAATGCCGCTGCTATTTTGTTAGAGATGGTATATGGTGCAATGTTGACTTTAAATGGGAGCAATGGGGTTACAAATGGGAGTTTTCACATTCCATCAAAACTGTACACTTATTCTATTTTAGTAAAAAAAGTTTTAACGCAGTTATAACCTTTTATTGTGAAGTACAAAAAAAAAATGAAATTAAAAAAAATTTAAGAAATAGAAGTTTTGCAACAAAACAAGAGGTGAACTAATGATAAAACTTATAGAATTAAGGTTATAGATTGTTTACATCCAAGAATGAGTCTTAACCCTTTCGCGCCTAACGGGACGCATACGTCCCAAGCAAATTTCAAAAAAAATTTTGGGGACAGAAACGCTTCTCTGTCTAATGGGAGACTTTCCCATCAGTCCTGCCAATATTTTTGACGGTATTTTCATCCACAGAGCATAGATGGCACTACAGTACATAGTGCTACCCTACTCATAGTTTATTCGACCAAAATTGTTCTGCTGTTAAAAAAAAAAAAAAAAGAAAAGAAAAGAAAGAAAACTCGTCGAGAAAGGGTTAAATAAGAAATTCACCAATATTGAAATCATGCAGACATTGTTGCAATAATAAATTTTCCATGTTGGTCAGAAATATTTTAATTAAAATTGGTTGTAATATAACAGCGCACAGTGACAGCTACCTTTGCCATCAAATTTAAATTTAAAATCTTTTCAGATAAGCTTAACTATCCTTTGTAATTATAATGTAAAATAATGGTGTGTGCAAAGATGTCTAACTTAAAGTTAAATCTCCCTGTCATAACTACAAAGTTGTAGTTGTCAAGAAAGCTTTAATTCCAAGCTTTAAAAATAAGTTCTAATATTAACCTGAAAGCTTAAGATGACTCAGGTTAGTCAGTAACCTACTTCGGTCTTTTTTTTTTTTTTTTTTTAAATCTTTTTACCGAAAGTTAGATTTAGTAGTATAATTCAACAAAACAGTATATAAGATAACAGTCATTAATAAGTGTTTCAGAAATTCTCACGTTTGTGTTATAAAAAATAAATGTTTACATTACATATAGATATAAAGAATACCTTGCATTACAAAATAATTATCATTAAGAAATAGAAACCTTGAAACAAAAATTAACGAAAGAATAAGAAACGTAAATAGAAGTTGTTTTAAATTTCAAACAGAACTAAAACTTAAATTAAAAGCTTACCAATGGAATATAAAATCTTCATATTGTTGATATATTATCATGTCATAGTATAATACTAGAATGTTTATTATATTGTGATGTTGAGAATTTATTTTAATTAAAATTTATGAAAGGAATTTAAATATTGACTTAAAAGCTCAAGACATTAAAAGCCTTGTTGTAATAACATCGGCCAATAAATGACCTTTGCCATCGAATTTTATTTAAGATCCTTTCACCCAAACTGAACTTTTATATAGTATCATCTGTTATTAATCTAAGACATTGATTTGCATGTGTGTGAAAAGGGGCAGCAGATCAGTAAATCGTCACTACGATATTGCGGTTGTCAGAAATAATTTAATATAAAAAAGAAATATAAATTTCAATCTAAGCTCAAGACATTGAAGGCCTAGTTTTAAAAACACAGGTCAGTCAATGGTTAGTTCAGCAATGGTTACTAGGGAGCGCTGCAAGCTCGGGACTGCCTAAATTTCCGGGTTACTGTTTCAGTTGTATTTTAAAGCCATTTGGCATCATTGTGTTTTGAGATTCTTGCAAACAATGCATTTGATTAGTTATTACTTATGTTTACAATGCTCACAATACTGTTTACAATACTAAAAGTGTTAACACTAACGTAAGATGGTGCACAGCTTGCAACACGAACAAATAGTAATAAACAAATGGAAAGAGGCCAATTCAAGACTGCCAAAAAAGCGAGTTATTCAAAATCTAGCAACCATGTCACCTTTTTTAATAATAAATAACAAAATAACTAAAACAAATTTTCACTCCAAACTCCCCAGAATTACATAATAGCATTAATATCTTATGAAATACGGCAGATTTGAGCTCAGAAATTATTTAGTTTATTTCTTTTATTGAAATCAAAATTATCCGTTTGAAAACATCGCCTATCAAAATAACATGTAGTAAGCAGCTGCAAACTTTTTAACCGGAACTAGAGTAGGTCCCGAGCTCGAGATTGTTATTGTTTACATTTCTATTGAAAAACCATCCAATGGATGGTGTAACACAGTAAAAACTAAAAGTATCATTCGTTATTAAGCTAGGACAATATTCATCGTTCCAAGCCTGTTATGATGTTATGAAATATAGAAAGGATATAGGAAATACATTTAAAACACAAAGGAATATTGACTGGATTTGTTTATTTTGAAAATAATATACATTGGACGAAAAGTGTTATGTGAAAATTTAATGATAACAATAATATATAAGCATGAGAAAATGGGGGAATTATCATACGACAAGTTGGCGACGAGTTCCGTTTGCTCGCCGAGGAAGGTAGATATCGTTTCTGGAGGAGGGAACCAGCTTTCCCCTGATTATGATAATGACGTTTACGCCTCTCTTCCTTCTCGATTATGACGTCTTACGATTATGACGTCTTGGCTCCAATTCCCTGACTAGTCCTTGGAGCTTATCAGTTAAGACATACCAGCTATAAAGACTATAAAGTAAACAGTTCGAAATCCTTGTTCTTAAATAACGTGTAAAAAAAAACCTTAGCTCTTGAATAACGGTGTTAATCCCGAACTTAGCAAGCGTTTAATCGAAAGTCACGAATACATTATTTTAAGAAAGAAAATCTATTTGACTCTTTTTAATGAAATTACATTTGATTAAAAGCTTTCATCATTATTAACAGCACTCAAACTCACAAGAAAGTTGTTCGCAAGCATAATACTAGTTTCCATATCACGTATTTCAGTTGCAAATTTGGAGTCTAATTAAAAAAATCTATGACTATAATCGTAATAAAAAAAAATTTATTTTGCAAATCATTTTCAAGAAATTCAATCATGCTTAGTAATATAGATGTTAAAAACTAAATCAAATCACTAAAAATATTATTTGATTTATTTAATTATTTATATTATTTATTTATTTTTTCTTAAAAAATTGAAAATAAAAAACGCTTCTGAGGAAACACCAAAACATGTCAATCCAATGCATCAGGCCAATGCAAAAAGGTATTTATATTTCTTATTTATTGAAGACAACGGTCTTCACAATCATAAAATTGAAAAATTAAATTCCAGCTTAGAGTTTAAGATTTAGTTAAAACTAGGAGGCTTTGTCCCCTGCTCGCTGGCGCATGCCAACCCCCGGAACTGCTTTCGCA